CTGGGCCTCCCTCCTTATCTGTGCATACTCGTTTCTGGCTCTTCTACTAATCTCCTTGTTTTCCTGGGTCCTATGCCTCCTGTACCTTTTCCATTCTCTGTTGCACTAAGTTTTTGCCTCCCTACACCTTTGGGTAAACCAAGGACTCGTTTTGGTCTTCCTATTATTTCTGTTTCCCTTGGGAACAAACCTTTCCTCTGCCTCCTTGCACTTTGTTGCTACATATTCCATCATCTCGTTTACTGATTTTCCTACCATTTCTCTGTCCCACTGAACTTCCTGCAGGAAGTTTCTCATACCTGTGTAGTCCCCCCTTTTATAGTTTGGCCTGTCCCCTTCAGTTCCTGTTACCTTCTCCACTTGTAACTTTACTATATAATCAAAACTCAGAACCACGTGATCGCTAGCTCCAAGGGGCCTCTCGTAAGTGATGTCCTCAATGTCTGAACTGCTCAGGGTGAACACAAGATCCAGTCTTGCTGGCTCATCCTCCCCTCTCTCTCTGGTAGTGTCCCTGACATGTTGATGCATGAGGTTTTCAAGTACCACATATATCATCTTGGCTCTACATGTGTGTGTGTGTGTGTGTGTGTGTGTGTGTGTGTGTGTGTGTGTGTGTGTGTGTGTGTGTGTGTGTGTGTGTGTGTGTGTGTGTGTGTGTGTGTGTGTGTGTGTGTGTGTATGTGTGTGTGTGTGTGTGTATGTGGTTATGAGCTTGCATGTGTATATATTGTTCAAACATTCATATAATTATTTTAATAATAATTACTATTATTATTATTATTATTATTATTATTATTATTATTATTATTATTATTATTATTATTATTATCAACATCACCATTATTATTATTATTATTATTATTATTATTATTATTTTCATTATTATTATTGTTATTATTATTATTATTATTATTATTATTATTATTATTATTATTATTATTATTATTATTATTTTCATTATTATTATTATTATTATTATTATTATTATTATTATTATTATTATTATTATTATTATTATTATTATTATTATTATTATTTTCATTATTAGTATTATTATTATTATTATTATTATTATTATCTTCATTATTATTATTATTGTTATTATTATTATTATTTTCATTATTATTATTATTATTATTATTATTATTATTATTATTATTATTATTATTATTATTATTATTATTATTTTCATTATTATTATTATTATTATTATTATTATTATTATTATTATTATTATTATTATTATCTTCATTATTATTATTATTGTTATTATTATTATTATCATCATCAATATCATCATCATTATGAAGCTTGGTATATCTCAACACATACACAAAAAATCTCAACATCTACAAAGACAATATTAAATCCCATTCATATCTGACGTAAAATTTCAGCGAAAAATATAAATTCCTGATCGTATTAGTTGAGATTAAATCCCCTTTTTTTCAACTGCGGGTCATGTATGTGATTAATGGCGCGAGCAAATCCTCTTCCAGCCTCCAAAGGGGTTTAGCATCAAGTTTTTGCTTTCATCCCTTTTAAGGGAGGACAACGGGATGGAAGGTATTTTTCACCTGCTGTTATTAAGGTCCCAGCTGAGTCTTACCTGACGACCAGTGTTCTTGTTATTCTTGAAGATCAGTGTTCTTGTTATTCTTGAAGATCAGTGTTCTTGTTATTCTTGAAGATCAGTGTTCTTGTTATTCTTGAAGATCAGTGTTCTTGTTATTCTTGAAGATCAGTGTTCTTGTTATTCTTGAAGATCAGTGTTCTTGTTATTCTTGAAGATCAGTGTTCTTGTTATTCTTGAAGATTAGTGTTCTTGTTGTCCTTGAAGATCAGTGTTCTTGTTATTCTTGAAGATTAGCGCTCTTGTTGTCCTTGAAGATCAGCGTTCTTGTTGTCCTTGAAGATCAGTGTTCTTGTTGTCCTTGAAGATCAGTGTTCTCGTTGTCCTTGAAGATCAGTGTTCTCGTTGTCCTTGAAGATCAGTGTTCTTGTTATTCTTGAAGATCAGTGTTCTTGCTATTCTTGAAGATTAGTGTTCTTGTTGTCCTTGAAGATCAGTGTTCTTGTTGTCCTTGAAGATCAGCGTTCTTGTTGTCCTTGAAGATCAGTGTTCTTGTTGTCCTTGAAGATCAGCGTTCTTGTTGTCCTTGAAGATCAGCGTTCTTGTTGCCCTTGAATATCAGTGTTCTCGTTGTCCTTGAAGATCAGTGTTCTCGTTGTCCTTGAAGATCAGTGTTCTTGTTATTCTTGAAGATCAGTGTTCTTGCTATTCTTGAAGATTAGTGTTCTTGTTGTCCTTGAAGATCAGTGTTCTTGTTGTCCTTGAAGATCAGCGTTCTTGTTGTCCTTGAAGATCAGTGTTCTTGTTGTCCTTGAAGATCAGCGTTCTTGTTGTCCTTGAAGATCAGCGTTCTTGTTGTCCTTGAATATCAGTGTTCTCGTTGTCCTTGAAGATCAGTGTTCTCGTTGTCCTTGAAGATCAGTGTTCTTGTTATTCTTGAAGATCAGTGTTCTTGCTATTCTTGAAGATTAGTGTTCTTGTTGTCTTTGAAGATCAGTGTTCTTGTTGTCCTTGAAGATCAGCGTTCTTGTTGTCCTTGAAGATCAGTGTTCTTGTTGTCCTTGAAGATCAGCGTTCTTGTTGTCCTTGAAGATCAGCGTTCTTGTTGTCCTTGAATATCAGTGTTCTCGTTGTCCTTGAAGATCAGTGTTCTCGTTGTTCTTGAAGATCAGTGTTCTTGTTATTCTTGAAGATCAGTGTTCTTGTTGTCCTTGAAGATCAGTGTTCTTGTTGTCCTTGAAGATCAGTGTTCTCGTTGTCCTTGAAGATCAGTGTTCTCGTTGTCCTTGAAGATCAGTGTTCTCGTTGTCCTTGAAGATCAGTGTTCTTGTTATTCTTGAAGATCAGTGTTCTTGCTATTCTTGAAGATTAGTGTTCTTGTTGTCCTTGAAGATCAGTGTTCTTGTTGTCCTTGAAGATCAGCGTTCTTGTTGTCCTTGAAGATCAGTGTTCTTGTTGTCCTTGAAGATCAGCGTTCTTGTTGTCCTTGAAGATCAGCGTTCTTGTTGTCCTTGAATATCAGTGTTCTCGTTGTCCTTGAAGATCAGTGTTCTCGTTGTCCTTGAAGATCAGTGTTCTTGTTATTCTTGAAGATCAGTGTTCTTGCTATTCTTGAAGATTAGTGTTCTTGTTGTCCTTGAAGATCAGTGTTCTTGTTGTCCTTGAAGATCAGCGTTCTTGTTGTCCTTGAGATCAGTGTTCTTGTTGTCCTTGAAGATCAGCGTTTTGTTGTCCTTGAATTATCAGTGTTCTCGTTGTCCTTGAGATCAGTGTTCTTGTTATTCTTGAAGATCAGTGTTCTTGCTATTCTTGAAGATTAGTGTTCTTGTTGTCCTTGAAGATCAGTGTTCTTGTTGTCCTTGAAGATCAGCGTTCTTGTTGTCCTTGAAGATCAGTGTTCTTGTTGTCCTTGAAGATCAGCGTTCTTGTTGTCCTTGAAGATCAGCGTTCTTGTTGTCCTTGAATATCAGTGTTCTCGTTGTCCTTGAAGATTAGTGTTCTTGTTATCCTTGAAGATCAGTGTTCTCGTTGTCCTTGAAGATCAGTGTTCTTGTTATTCTTGATGATCAGTGTTCTTGTTATTCTTGAAGATTAGCCCTCTTGTTGTCCTTGAAGATCAGTGTTCTTGTTTTCCTTGAAGATCAGTGTTCTTGTTATTCTTGATGATCAGTGTTCTTGTTGTCCTTGAAGATCAGTGTTCTTGTTGTCCTTGAAGATTAGTGTTCTTGTTATCCTTGAAGATCAGTGTTCTTGTTGTCCTTGAAGATCAGTGTTCTTGTTGTCCTTGAAGATCAGTGTTCTTGTTATTCTTGATGATCAGTGTTCTTGTTGTCCTTGAAGATCAGTGTTCTTGTTATCCTTGAAGATCAGTGTTCTTGTTGTCCTTGAAGATCAGTGTTCTTGTTGTCCTTGAAGATCAGTGTTCTTGTTGTCCTTGAAGATCAGTGTTCTTGTTATTCTTGATGATCAGTGATCTTGTTGTCCTTGAAGATCAGTGTTCTTGTTATCCTTGAAGATCAGTGTTCTTGTTGTCCTTGAAGATCAGTGATCTTGTTGTCCTTGAAGATCAGTGTTCTTGTTGTCCTTGAAGATCAGTGTTTTTGTTATTCTTGAAGATCAGTGTTCTTGTTATTCTTGATGATCAGTGATCTTGTTGTCCTTGAAGATTAGTGTTCTTGTTATCCTTGAAGATTAGTGTTTTTGTTATTCTTGAAGATTAGTGTTCTTGTTATCCTTGAAGATTAGTGTTCTTGTTATTCTTGAAGATTAGTGTTCTTGTTATTCTTGAAGATCAGTGTTTTTGTTATTCTTGAAGATTAGTGTTCTTGTTATCCTTGAAGATTAGTGTTCTTGTTATTCTTGAAGATTAGTGTTCTTGTTATTCTTGAAGATCAGTGTTTTTGTTATTCTTGAAGATTAGTGTTCTTGTTATCCTTGAAGATTAGTGTTCTTGTTATTCTTGAAGATTAGTGTTCTTGTTATTCTTGAAGATCAGTGTTCTTGTTATTCTTGAAGATTAGTGTTCTTGTTATTCTTGAAGATCAGTGTTCTTGTTATTCTTGAAGATTAGTGTTCTTGTTATTCTTGAAGATTAGTGTTCTTGTTATTCTTGAAGATCAGTGTTCTTGTTATTCTTGAAGATTAGTGTTCTTGTTATTCTTGAAGATTAGTGTTCTTGTTATTCTTGAAGATCAGTGTTCTTGTTATTCTTGAAGATCAGTGTTCTTGTTATTCTTGAAGATCAGTGTTCTTGTTATTCTTGAAGATCAGTGTTCTTGTTATTCTTGAAGATCAGTGTTCTTGTTATTCTTGAAGATCAGTGTTCTTGTTGTCCTTGAAGATCAGTGTTCATGTTATCCTAAGTATAATATATATATAATTTTCACACCACCTGTTCATCCCTCGGTGTTACCTCCCCTGACAGGCTGGGCAGCAGCAGGTGATCTACCAGGTGGTGGGTGGTTTCGGGGGCGCGCTGAGGGTGGGCGTGGACGGGGGCGTGACGCTCTGGCGCCCCCTCGACCGCGAGGCCCCGGAGGGTGACACGGGTGTGGCCAGGGTCATCGCAGTGGACGGGGGGCGCCCGCCCCTCACTTCCACCGCCACCCTCACCATCACCGTTGCCGACGTCAACGACTGCGCCCCCCGCCTCCTGCCGCCCACGGTACTGCACGTGGTAGAGGGGGCACCGCCCATGTTGCTAGGCGTGCTGACGGCCACTGACTACGACGTGTGGGCCCTGGGCCACGGCCCACCGTTCAACCTCACCCTGGACCCCTCCAACCCTCCCCACGTCACCGCCCTCGTCAAGCTCAAGTACGACCCTCGTAAGTATCAAGTACGACCCTCGTAAATACAAAGTACGACTCTCGTACGTATCCAGTACGACCCCTAGTGAGTATCACTTACGACTCTCGCAAGTATCAAGTACGACCCACTTATTAAATTCTACCCATGTAAGTATCTAGTACGACCCTCTCATCAAGTACAACCCACGTGAGAATCTAGTATAACCCACATAAACATCAAGTTTATTTTTTACTTAATTCTAACTATAGATTCACTACAAATCTTATGATTACAAGCATTGATCCTGATACCAACCTCTTATTTAATGACTTAAATGATTCAAACAGTTACTGTAATTACTACACAGCAGAACAATCAAAGGCACTTCTCAGAGCCAACAACAACATAACTATCTTTAACTACAATATCAGATCTTTAAGCAAGCATTATGATGACCTCCTAGCATTACTAAATTCCTTGCATGCCAATATGTCCATCATTACACTAACTGAAACCTGGCTAAAGCCTGATACTACAGATGTCTATGCCATTCCTGGTTACACAGCCATACACAACTGTAGGCCAGACCAACAAGGGGGTGGCACTGCTATATACTACTCAGACCAACTAGAATGTATCACTAATACTTGCACAAGGGATAAACATGGGGAATATATAATAGCTAATTCAAATCCAAATACCTACAAAAACCTCTCACAGTGATAAACATCTACAGAGTTCCACATCAAACATTAGCCAATTTAGTCAAAACCTAGGAAGTATGATAACTGATGCACGCATGAACAAAGATCACTTACTACTCTCAGGTGACTTCAGTATAAATCTCCTGCAAGACCAGGACCCACACGTTACTGAATTCACTAACACAATGAGTAACTGCATGTTGCTACCAACAGTAACAAAACCTACAAGAGTTACAGGGGACTAGTGTTTCCCTACTTGACCACATCTGGACCAACACCATATCCCCTTTAAAATCAGGCATAATTACAGATAATACCACAGACCACTACCCTACTTTCCTCATAACAATCTTGGTAAAATACCCAAGACACTACTAAAGTCACCTTCAGACTTCACAATGAGGCAGCCATTAAATAACTTCACAACAGCAGTAACAAACATTGACTGGCACACTGAGCTAGAAATCTATACAGATATTGACGAATTTTTTAAATTTAAATTTTCTAAAAAAGACCCAATACCTTTATAACAAGCACTGCCCTAGAAAAACTAAACAGATGACAGCTAAGAGACTGAACAGTCCCTGGCTAACACCCAGCATTCTCAAATCCATAAATACAAAACACCGATATGAAAAAACAGTACAGAATGGGTCACATAACCAGAGACTAAACAAAACGTTACTCGTCAATCCTAACCAGCCTGATAAGAAGGGCAAAAAAATTGTATTATGAGAACAGATTATCCAACTTACGAGGTGATATAAAAAGACCTGGAAGACCCTATCAGAAATTCTGGGAACAAAAAAGGTATCACGACATAGCGAAATAAAATTAGCAAAATCAGATGAACCCCAACTCCCACAACAGAAAACAGCAAACAGACTCAATGATTTCTTCTCCACTATAGGTCAAAAACCTTGCCAATAAAATCCCAAGCTCAGATACCCACCAAATGATACCTCACTGGCAACTACCCGAACACACTGTTCCTAGCTCCGACTAACCATACGAAGTCTCCCTTTTTATCAACGCACTGAAAACAAGGCAGGAGATTTAAATACCTTACACCCTTTATATACAGAAAAGCGTCACAATTTACTATCACCAATCATTGCAACACTCTTTAACAAATCCATTGAATCCTCCACCTTCCCTACAGTTTTTCAAAATAGCAAGGGTCACCCCGATCCATAAAGGAGGAGACCAAACAGAGTTGAATAACTTATAGGCCAATATCCAATTTACACCCTCTCTCAAAATCTTCGAAAAATTAATTCATAAACAAATTCTACTCCTACCTCATCTCCCAAAAACATTCTCAACCCTGCCAATTTGGATTCAGGCCTAATAAAAATACTAATGATGCTATTATACACATGCTAGAACATATATACACTGCAATAGAGGAAAAAAGAAGTCCCATGGGGATCTTCATTGACTTACGTAAAGCTTTTGATACAGTTGACCATGACTTGCTCCACGTAAAATTGTCACACTATGGTATTAGAGGGCACTCCCTCAACTACCTCAAGTCATACCTCAGCAACAGAAGCCAATATGTGAACGCAAATGGGGCAAGCTCTTCCGCACAACCAATTACAGTTGGTGTCCCACAGGGAAGTGTCCTTGGCCCTCTTCTCTTTCTCCTATACATAAATGACCTACCAAATGCTTCGCAATTACTCAAACCCACACTTTTTGCAGATGACACTACATACGTCTTCTCTCACCCGAGCCCAGTCACGCTAGCCAATACTGTAAAACACCGAATTACAGAAAATATCTACCTGGATGAGGACTAACAAACTTACACTAAACATTGACAAAACCTACTTCATTCAGTTTGGTAACATAGCTACAGATGTACCTCTTAACATAACAATAAACGGATCACCTATCACAAAGCTAACAGAGGGAAATTTCCTAGGAATCCACCTCGATAATAGACTCAAATTTCATACACATATACAACAAATTTCTAAGAAAATTTCCAAGACTGTAGGCATTTCTATCGAAGATACGGTACTATGTTCCACAGTCAGCCCTCCCGGCCCTTTATCACTCTCTTATTTACCCCTATCTCACCTATGGAATTTGTGCATGGGGCTCAACAACAATTAACCATCTCAGACCACTAATTACCCAACAAAAGGCTTTCAGTTAGAATGATAACAAATTCTCACTACAGGCAGCACACTCCAACAATATTCAAAACACTCAACCTACTCACCATACAAAGCATCCATACTTATTATTTCACTTATTACATACATAGAACACTTAACTCTGATATTAACCCTCCCCTCAAACATCTCCTTGCCAACCTCAACAGAACACATGACCATAACACAAGGCACAGATCACTCTTTGATGTTCCTCGTGTCCATCTCACACTATTTCAAAAACTCAATGCACATAAAAGGCCCTAAAATCTGGAATTCATTACCTGTAAATATAAAAGAAACACCACCTGTTTATAAATTCAAGTCTCTTCTCAAAGTTCACTTACTCACTCAAAACCAAATAAATACTGAATAACTGAACCTTATAAATTGTATATCCTATATGTTACTCACAATTATATCACACAAATGTTAAACCTAGGACCCAATCTAACTTTATTATTTTTTTAAATACACTACCTAACAGAATACTCCATACGACTGAATGTACAGCAATGCAAGCAACCATATGACCTGTCTTTGTAATACTCACTTGTGCTTTATAGTTATCTGTTTACAATAATGTTTTATCACTGATTTCATCATTGCTTAGTTAATCTTAAGTTAATTTTAAGCCAGCCCGTAATGCTATGCATAGTATAAGTGGCTTTGGCATGCTGCTCTTACCTGTATTTTTTGTACCTCTCTTTGTATGCTTAAATTACTAAATTACTAAATAAGTACGACCCGCGTAAGAATCTAGTACGACCCACGTAAACACCAAACATGATAACAGTTGATATTTACAGAGTGAACGACAGTAATCATCACTAACAAGTTCACAGATGCCTAAATCTCTCTTCCAGCACTCGAGTTTAAATTCTGCCCGTGTTTAAGGACAAAGGACCATGCCGGTGGTACTTACCTAGAGTGTTAAACTGACCAAAACATCATTGAATTATTTCTAATTCAGAACCACTAGGCAGACACCGTGCCACTCACGAAATGTTCAAACTGGATCCACGAATCGTCAATGAGGATTAAAAATTAGCTGAAATTTTCGTGTCGAATGACCATCTTGTCTTTACGAATTACACAGTAGCAAACTGCAGCATTTACTCTAAGTCTTATCAAAAAATTTAATTTCTTTCGTGTCATTAACAGTCAAAATTTACATTCAGAGTTTTCTCTAGGTTTTAACATTAGGTTGACAGATAGGTAGAAAAAGGTAACAGTAAAACCAGTTATTCGATTTAAAAAATATAGAACAAAGGCAAAAAAAGAAAGATTTCTTATCATTGGCCTCACGAGGAACAGGAGGCTCGTGGCTGTGTTTACAACTGAGTTAGTTTCTACTGGATCAGAGGACGTAAGTCTTTACTAAAAATTATGTCGTCAAAATGAGATTCTTACGTATTTCAGAATGTGTTTACCACTGCCCTGCTACTGTAACTACAAACACTGAAGACAGGTCATCGCCAATATAACACTGCTGTTGTAACTACAAACACTAAAGACAGGTCACCACCAATATAACACTGCTGTTGTAACTGCAAACACTAAAGACAGGTCACCACCAATAAAACACTGCTCTTGTAACTCAAAACTAAAGGACAGTCACCACATAAAACACTGCTGTTTGTAACTGAAACACTAAAGACAGGTCACCACCAATATAACACTGCTGTTGTAACTACAAAACTAAAGACAGGAAACCCTAATATTACATGCTGTTGTAACTACAAACACTAAAGAAGGTCACCCCA